TTCACAAAATAGATAGACAGGTTATATTTGTGAGCAAACACTGTATAAGTGCTAATTTATTAGGCACATAAAGGCACAACTTTTTTCCAATGTAAATTAAAATAATAACAAGATATAAGTATTRTTTATCAAAAAATAATATTTAATTTTAAATAAATGCATTGGATAATTGTTTAGCTTAAGCCTAATTCAAGGACAACCGTTAATTTTGGATACTAATTTATTCACTTAGCTTTCTGTTGTAGAAAGTTTAAATTGTACTATTAAATATATTGTGTATTATTAAGTTTGCCACCAGTTTTTTCAAATTTAAACTCGTATCTCATTTTATGAAATACCAACACACTTCAATATTTTATTTCTGCATATTTATACCATATGTTTCAGTWATATGCCTACATCTATATACACATTAAATCATTTTAAACTTGAATATAAATATGTAATTCTCTGTTAGAAATATTTTTGAAAAAAATTAATATCATTTTCACTTAAGCTAAGAAGTCTTTGGAACTATAAATTTTCCCATGCATCATAGATGTTATGAATTTTGTAACAATAAATATTATTCAAAATTTAAATGTATTCAACAATCATAATTTGAATTTTTGAAATTAATTTTACTGAGGCAAAATAATAAACTATTGTAAATCAGGATAATTGTGTTATCTTTAATTTATAAAGAATATTATATTTTGTTTACTAAGATTATACGCAATTAAAATAACAAGTAACTCTATATCAAAAACAATATTTTATTTAACAACAAATATATTTTTAACAATAAATTCAAAATAACCTACTAACAAAATAACTATTCATAATTTTAGTTATTTCAAATTAAATTAAAATTATCTTTAGACAATTATAAAACTGTAAATAAAATAAAAAATCACAACTAAGATCAGTTTATTAACTGGGATTTGTATTTTACATTGTGTGTTGGTTATTGACTTGCAATATTAAATCACCTTCATCTCTGGATTCCTGTAGATAGATAACAAATACTTACATTCATAAAATGTATTATTATGAGATAATGTATATAGAAATAATACAAAATACCAAACGCTTATTGATTAATTCTTCGAAAGAATTCCTATGTATATCGACCATGTGTCTGCTTAAGTTAGATCTTTGAGAAAATCTCCGTCCACAAAAGTTACAGCCAAATTTTGGAGTCACTCCACATTCAAACTTTGAATGCCTTTGAAGACTTCCTCTATGCATATACATCTTGCCACACTTTTTACATATATAATCATGTCCATTAAACATATAATCTGAAATTTATATTTTTTTATCTCATATTAAAAAATGTAATGTTCTTTATGATTATTATGCCATATAAAGTATATATTAAGCCAATATACATATTAAATGTTGATATATAATATTAGAAGTACATATGTTTTGAACAAAAGCTAAAATATAACAAATTAAAGCATAATATGATAAATATACATAAAAA